TGTGATTTAGATAATATACCCTCCGGTGCGCAGTGCTGGTTTAGCCGAAGCGCAATATGTTTCATATGGCCACATTGAAAGTCAGGAGCCAGTGTTTCGACTATTGCTCGAGTCCATGCAAATCTGCCTGCAGATTTAATTCATCATCTTCGTTGTTAATGACCTTCCAATCTTTTAAGTCTTCAGTAAACATGCGCATTCTAATCTGCTTATGCATTACTCAATCTGTATTAGCAGGACAGTCAAATCAACGAGAGAACTGGATGTGAGCCCAGTTCTTGTTTAAAGGCAGTCTACCTTGTCTTGGCCCTTGATTGCAATTAAAATCTACTTCACGTCAATTACTGTCGTTTCACTGTCCGTGTTGCTTATTGGCATAATCGATTCTCAAGTGCTTGGCTCACAGTGCAAGTGCTTGCAAACATGCGCCTCGCGGCACATAGCCTCGATGAAGAATAAGGACAGGGGGCGGAGAATTTTGCGGATTAATCACTGCAGACCGGAGAATCACGGAAACCACGAAATACTGAGTGGTACGCGAAAGAACAACAGGAGACAATGAGTTGGTTTTCACATCTAATAAACCATCACCTGATCCAACTTTACCATACACTGGGCAGTTTTGAGAGCAGTCAGGCCAGTAGACAGAGATAAAGAGCGTTCATTGGCTAGGTCGGCCTGTGGTTGGTTGGACGCCGTGCGGGTGGACAGCATGTGGGTGGTCCATGTCTCGCTGCAGTAAGTCTGGCGACCGAAACGACCTTGAGTCCAGAGAGATTGAAGTCACGAAAGGAAGGCCAGACATCGGTAGGCAACGGCCCACTACATATACTCCCCCTCGAGACCGTAGCGAGGATACTGAAAGGCTTCTCCTCTTCTAAGTAACCAAGGTCTGAAGATCGCAGTTGCTGGGTTTGACTCACTTACCTCCCTGCGATAAGATCATCAATATGCGTAAGGAAGAGGATGGGACCAAGAGCGGAACCCTCGGGAGCCCCAGTTTCGACGGCCACCTCCGACGACCACCGGTCACCAAGATATACGGTATGAGACTAACCACTCCAACAGTTTTTGATTAACTGTGAAGATCATTTTTATGGCCCGCCAACGTGAACATTCAGGCGAGGTGTGAGTGGTCATCAGGACAGTTAAATCAATGACTGAGCCCAGTCAATCTCGTCTTGTCATATTGATTGCAATTAAAATCTACTTCGCCGGTTCCCTTCTAGCCTCAAGTCTTTCCTCCATCAGCTTTCATTCTCAAACATCGAATAGGTTCTCCTTCTTGCATAATTTTTGGGATAGACGGAAGGAATACGCATGACTTTGTGTTCCGGAGTTATTCGGGCATTTTGGGTTATTCAAAGTTAAC